GGGGGGGGTTAGAAGATTTCCAGTGCTTTTTTTCTTAAAGGTTGAGGGTGGTGGTGGAGGGAGTTTACATAGTACAGGATGCCTAAAATGGACCCAATTAAAGGGAAACAACTCAATTATCTCTGCACTAGTTTAAAAAAGACCTCTGTTGAATTCAACAATGGGTACGTCAAGTATAACCATGCAGAAAATCAATCAACCTGTACGAAAAATATCAAGTCATGCAAATTTCATCAAAAGTTGGGTAAAATTCAGAAAGGTAACTTCGCAATAATAGCGTTCAGCAGCTACAAGTGTGTGATTGACCCGTTCTGGTTTCAGGACGAAGACGGTAAAACCGCGACAGTCACATCAGTTGGATATCTCACAGAGTTGAGAGAGTTTAGGAGAAGTTTGTGGAGAAGGCATTGTGTCGTTGACGTGGCTTGGTTCCGGTGGGATGGGGCCACACCACACACGTCGAGAGTGGACCATGTACGGATGCAAGAAAGTTTTGGTGAACACCGAATAAGCTAACATCTTACAAATGAATGGTCACCGCAGTTATGCTTTTCTGTATATAATTGAGAAATAAACGATAACACAGAGAGGCCAAGATAGACGGGTTTAATGAGCTTTTGTGGTCGAGCACAGTTGTACAACTCTTCAGTATGTTGTTAGTTGGATTTAGGTAGCTGGGCATTATTTGTGTTATAAATTACAACTATGTAACAACATAATACCAAGATTTGAATTCCCTTGGGGAGGTTGGGGGTGGGGGAGGGGGTGGGGGTTGACAGACAGAGTCTACGGCAACAACCCACAAACAATCAAACAGTTGAAACTCAATGTTGTACTGCGAAGGTTTACAAAATCGACTCAGAAACATGCTACTAGGCTATTCAAATTTTCCAGTAGCGTATTAGAGCTTATCTGGAGGGAAATGGTCAACACCTGGAGCGTATAATTTAAATGACAACCTCCATCCTTGGATGTAATTTACATCACCACTTTTGTATAAATTTGTTCTTTTCTTCATAATCGGCTTTTACCTGACTTCCTGCTGTCGAG